AAAAAAAAAAAGAATCCTCACCTCAGAGTTCACTTCTGGGGAACCCAATGTTGTTAGTTTCTCTAATTCATGTCATCTTTCTCTGACAAGCTCCCTCTGCCATATATGGAAGAAAGGCTGCAGGTTTGGACTTGCTTAGCTACCGTGTCTTCCAAAAATGAAGGGGTGGGGGCCCATGCAAAAACCTGCTCTGTATGTTGCCGCCCACTTCATTAGTGGCTCATCCTCAGGCTGGCCTGTGCTGTGTGTGTGGTGGTTGATTATCAAAAGTGTCACTTCATTCTCAGTCTCCTGGCTCAGTCATTTTGATGCAGCAGTCACTTCATCGGCTGCAGTTATAGTATGAGCAGCCCTGGAGACTTGATATTTCTTGTAGATTATCCAGCTGAGGAGGTGAAGTGTGAGCTACAGGGACCAATTTCTTTAGTAATAGAGGATCAGAATTAATGGTCCCCAAGCTTTTGGAAATACAGATATGTTTTGCAGTGGGAATACTGGAAAAACATAGCCCCTTATTTCTTATTGACTGTGTTAGTGGAAGTCCCTTGACACCCTTGTTTTAGCTAGGTCTTATAGCACTAAGCCAGTCAGGAGGCTGGTGCAGACCCAGAAAGAGCTCAAGATGCAAATGTACCATAAAGTAGTTTCACTGTATAATTTCCATTTTACATGGAATTGCTTAGTAGCTATAACTCATTATTTTACTGAAAGGCATGTTAGGTAAACAAGAAAGGTTTATTAATATGAATTGCCATTCATGCATTCCCAGAAGGTGCTATTATAAATATAAGGACCTTTAAAAATCAACAGCAAGCTCGCCCGGCCGGGCGTGGCTCAGCGGTTGAGCGTCGACCTGGGATTCAGGCGATCAGGGTTCGATTCCCGGTCAGGGCACATGCCCGGTTGTGGGCTTGATCAATGACTCTCTCATCATTGATGTTTCTGTCTCTCTCTCTCCCTCTCCTTTCCTCTCTCTGAAATCAATAAAGATATATTTTTAAAAAATAAAAAATAAAAATCAACAGCAAGCTTAAGTGGTTTTCCAAGGAAAATTTCTCTGTTCTGCCTTCAGGCTGAGAGTAAATGTAAGTTCCTATGGAATTATTACCTAAGTAAAAGGCTTTCTCTTTATTGGGCAGTTCTGGCAGACATTGATTTATAATTTATTATCCCATCTTAGACCTGTAAATGCACTGGGAACTCTGCTTCCTACTCTGATGAAAAGTGTCTCTCTCTTCAAAAAAATAGAAGATAATGGATATTACTGATTATACCACACCCCTGCTCAAAGACCCAACTGCTTTTAATGTAGTTTGAATAAATCCTAACCTTCACCCTGACACTCAGTTCTCCTTTGATATGGCCCAGACTTCTATAGCAAAGGAAGATGTCAGTGCTTTCCCCATATCCCCATTTTCATGCATACGTAGCTGCCCATGGCTTTCACTCCCACCAGCCAATACCTGCCAGTCTTTGTAGGAGAGGAGTCATGAGGCTGCTGGAGTGCGTTTGGTCTGTGGGCCTAGAAAGCCAGAACAGCCTGGGTATTTAAGTCTCCTGGGGGTTGAGGGCAGAAGGAACGTAAACACTCTCACTCCATTGCCTCCTATGGTGCCAGCTCTGAGGTGATCTGTCTTATTTA